TTAATTTACCATTTACCAATGAAATCCCTGATTATACATAAAGGGACTATGTTTTTAGAATGAAACGTTCGCAATATTCATAGAACAACTTTTCATCCAGCTAACCCTAAAATACAAATATAACTTAAACTGTCACTTTTAGTTTCTTTCGTCAAAAGCCTTCGTTGTCTTGTCTCTTGAATGAACATCGAACTAGAAAGAAAAAAACGTCTGGTTCTTGGTTTCTGCGTGTGTTTCTGGGGTTTTTTGGCCCAAATAAATGAAACTGATGGTTTCACGAGTGCAGACCCTGTATTTGAATGGTCGGTCGTCGGTCTACAGTGGTATCTGTACAGGTGGGACTGCATCTGGCCTACCATAAACACGTTTGATGGCTCCAGGGTTTCCGCGCCGACCTCCTCGCCTTTCACACGATTCTACCCACCGTATCGCATGGTTATCGTATAATGTAAACTACTCGAATACGTTGATCGATGAATTGAACAATTCGATATTTTACACGGTACTAACCACTGTATTGATAGGTTGTAATGCATCTTCAAAAGTATACAACCTCTCTCAAATAGGACGATCGTTGAATGAAGAAGTATAAATGTACCATGCTTGCTAGCCAATGTATTGGTAGGTTATCAGTCAAACTGTAAATGAGGCTGTAGCTACTAAATGGGCATATCTCAAAAACTGATGTTTTGAGATAATCGCTGTTAAAGTTTATAGGTTATGTTTGGCTGTTAGTATAGCAGTCGTCTACGTTCAAAGGGCCTGGTGACACCAGCTGACTTTAAGAGTCAGACGAACCAAACACACTGAAATACACCATTCCAAGTGATCAAAGATTATACTATATAGAGGCATAAGGAAGAGAAATAGCGAGTCTCATCTATAAGGGCCCATCTCGACTTAGGCCCCCATAGCAGCTACAGCCTCAAATGTATTACTACAATAGTTTCATCCATGAATGGGATATTTTACTCATTGATACCACTTTAAACATCAGCTACTGTATCATCGCACGGAGTTTAGTAACTCTATGCTAAATAGGTTATCGTATGAATGGAGAAAATCAACTTTTAACATGCTGCGAAATGTATTGGTAGGTTATGACACAACCTTAAGATATGCTAATCGAATCTGTCGATAGATGAACGGAAGAACTCGATATTTTACTCATTGCTAACCATTGTAGATATAAGCTATTGTACAGCACAAAGTATTCCTATCCGAATATTTTAACGGATGAATTGAGGAAGTGGACATTTAACATGTTGCTAACCAATGTATTGACTGGTAAGTTATCACTCCAAGTAGGCCTATACTTTTCGTGTTGATTGATTGTCGAATGAAATATTAATGTATGTAATAAATCTGCGCAATGCCTTGAACAGCTGATTTGGTGTCAACTCCCATCAATTTACAATGGCGTTTTGTGTCAGAAAGAGGCAAACATGAAAATAAAAATCTACATAAAAAGAGAAAGAAAAGCAAGCGAGAAAGAAGGGACGAGGAAGCAAGAAGTTGTCACTCGATCGGCGAGGCAGAACTAATTTACACCATAAAAGAAACAAAGGGGGTCCAATTAAATGTGCTATAAGATAAAAACCACATAAAATAGTAGTTGGGAAACTGTAAATACTTGTGACACTGTTTTACAGCTGCCAAATTTTAATTGGACGTCTTTGTTTTATTACCGCTGATTGATCAGATATGTAAGGCATGGGGTCGGTTGAGTGAGTGCTATTTTGGTAGCTTAATTGGTTGATTCTAGTTTTCTGAAAATCAGAGAAATTTGAACAAATATTTTCCAATCCTAAAATTATTCAAAGTCAATTAATCGACCCAATCCAGAACCGTTGGATACCGATGATATTATGTTTAACCTTTCATATGTACTTATGTATACGAGTACATACTCTAGGAGTGCTCTAGAAGCGCTCTAGGAGTGCTCTGGGAGTATCAACAGTGTACTCGTACTCTGCCGGTTCCGACGAATTCGTTACGAGTCGGGCGACAAAGAGAGTTTTGTCGCTGGTGACGACAATTCAAGTCGCTTGACCGAGGCGAGGCGGTTTTTCCGGTAGCAAGGCGAATCGAAGGGAGGCACGCCCAAACTAGCGTGTCGTAGACGTCCAATCGGTTCACCATATTGAAACAGAAATGGCTTCCAATGTAGCACCGTGTACAAGACAGTGCCGTGTCCACGTTTCTTGCCCAATTACAGTCCTTTACAAAAACAAGCCGCTCGGTAAAAATAAATGGGCGTTGGATTTTCCGCACGGCATCATTTTTTACAACACCTCTCTCATAGTTCGGCGACATATGAAATCTCAGCTATTTTGCTTATACTAATTAAACCATCGAGTTTAGACTCTTTAGTGCTGTAGAACAATTCAAAGGTAATCCTCTAAAAATTGTGTATAGTTTGTGCGTGATGCTTCGTTGGTATCAAAATATTTACACTCGCGTGTATTATTTGTAAGAGCGTGATTTTACATTTTATAAGTAAAACGTGTTCTTTTTGTAGCCTCACAAGCCCCATAAATTTCTGTGTTTTGTTAAACAGTACAATCTTGATATATTGTAACACCAAACTTGAAATATTTCTGCAAAACGACAAATTAGAACACTAAAAGTTAGCATCACATTAGTGGTAACTTGTGGGAGGAATCGTTGGCCCTTCTTTACATGGATGGATAAAAGATCCACAAAGTGTACACAACCAGTCTGTTTCAACTACCTGCGATTCCAGGAAGGTTTTACTTTAAAAACATACTATATAATGTACATGTCAAGTAAAATTGTAGAAACACTATAAAACTGTACATCAAGTTTGAGGGGAAAGCTGGAAGCAACGGTCTCTGAGTTAGGCGGAGTAACAGGGGAAATCGTGTCATCGCTATATGCGGGCCTATGTGCGATATAAAGGCAAAATCCCATACAAAGAAATCTGGAGAAAATGAGTCACAAATCCAAAGCTAGGGGTTTCCGGCTAAGGTTAAATAAAGGCTTCCTCTGTCGGCATTTTACTACAGTACTACTATTACTATAGTATTTGTTAAGTTCAAAGCCTCGTAGCATTAACTACTAGTTAGTTTGTATGGTAAGCTACATTATTCATTGGTAATGTTATTCAAAACCCCAAAAACTTATCAATGAATTTAACAGTTGGATAAAAAACAGTAAAATGTTATGTTAAGTCTATAAAGCGTTCTTTGATACTAGGCCGATCACAAACAAACTTGCCTGCAATTTTAACCACGGTTGACGTGATACAAAACAGCCTTGGCTCAATAAGTCACACGTACAATTATAGAAAGGCAATTAATACGAGGAGGAGTATCAATAATTAAAACAGGCCGAAGTAGGACTAGGGGACGGACAAAGGAAGAGGGCTAAATTAATTAATGTCCAGCAAGGAGAAGCGTCATCGGTATGACCACAATTACGGCGTGGTAACCGAACCCCGCTCCCCAACGGTCCATAAATTTTCTATTAACTTTTGTTCGGCCCCAGTTAACATAAAGGGGTTTATGGTGTCGTATTGCGCCTGCCTCACTCCGCGAAGCGTTGTACTAATGGCTCAATCCGGCACGTCCCGACCTATCGATGTGATTTATCATTGCCTACTTGCTGCTTGTCCTGTTGGGTGGTTTGGCCAAAGTTTACAATCGCGGGGATTGGTTACACATTAACACTTTGTAAACAATACGATATCCGAAGTTGATTGAAACACAAAAAAAATCCTTGAAACACAATCGGATTTATGCTAACGAGTGTAGGGGTTTTTATCTGTAAATACTGCTCTTTTATCCGCACCCTACTCTTCCACAATAAATCTAGTTTTCCACAATATTCAAACGAAATTAAATACACCGTCACTAATTCACATTTTAAAAGGTAGTAACAAAAACGTCTAAAAGGTTATAAATTAGAAATAAAAGCTTCACCAATATTTTCAAAATTTTTAATTTCATTAGGCTTTTCGCCAGCTATGGGCATCATCAGACATATCACAAAACTGTCGGCCTATGCATAGCTGGCGAAAGGCCTCATGAAATTAAAAATTTTGAAAATATTGGTGAAGTTTGTATTTTAAATTTATATTCATTCCAATATTACCAGTTTTTCTTGAAGATCTAAAAGGTTGTACAGTAGTTACATAATCAAGAAATGTACGTAATTCCTTGTGTTAACAGGATCCTAATTTTGCATGTCACTGTATTTCACAGCTCAAAAATAGCCCATAGACGTTGCAGCGAGATAATTATTAATTAAATGTATCGCAAAAAGAAGCATAATTGATGACCCTGGCTAAACACGATACAGTATGTGTGTTAAGTAATTACGAACGTTTGAATCAGCTGTAATTTAAGGAATTGAGTATCATAGCAAGTTAAAAATCTTTCAGATGATCCAAAACATTGAACTTTAACACAAGGTATACCCAAGAATGGCTGTAGTATGATTACAATTTGAAGCCTTTCGATTATATATACATGGACAAGGTTTGCAATACGTTGCTATTCCCGCAAACTAATTATTAATACGCGTTGCTAGCCCTAGTACACGGTAGGATGCACTTCATCGGTCAACTGGAAACCACCACTATATAACGAAATGACGGGGAAAAATCTCTATTAACAATAGCTTAGAGTTAACTGTCCAAGGACCATAACTTTTTGTTCTGTTTAAACGTAAATTTCGTGGGAAAGTAATTCACAAATTAAACCTCTGTTTGGTGTAACATCGCTATACATCCTCGATGGTTAAGTTGTTAAGAGATTAAGAATTGTAGTGTAAAGCCCGAATGAATTAAATCAACGAAACATACTAACACGGTTAGAACCAGGTTCCTTCAAGCATTAAGAGTGGTATGAACTAGAAACTTGAACTACCAACAAATACAGGTTATTTAATGGCATCAAATAGTTTGTTATCTACCAGCAAATATAAAGACCATGACATTATCTATCATCTATCCATTTTCAGCAGTTTCAACTCACCTGGGTTTGCGTCAGTCCCAACGACGCCGCCAACTCCGCTCTTTCGGGCAGCGCCAGATATTGTGTCCTTTGAAATCTTCTATTCAGCTGCTGCAGTTGTAGACTGGAATAGATCGTTCTGGGTTTTCGCATCTTCTTCCCCTTTCCGTTTACTCTAAGACCACCGTCATCCACCCCACATTTTTCTGTAAGAAATAAAAATAAATAATGCATTTTGTACATTTTTTCATCAACTGATTTGTTTGGAAAAATGTTCTTCATATGTACATTTTCATATTTTGAAGTGAAGAACAGAAATGTGAATGGTGAACTTAACTGCAATGCCTATGCAAGCTGATACTGTATAGTTGATTTAACAAAGAATATCAAGGTGGCGAGGCATGTTCAATGCCGATTCTGTCTTCTCGATCTGCTACTTGAGACGTTTAGGTAATGAGTTTAAACTTTATTTCGATCACAACATGGCATAAAAGAAACGTATTTTTCACCATAGTGATATGTCAGTAGATCTATTGGCATCAGTGCCAGTTGTGTCAGAGTTTGTCTCAAATTCCAAGGAGCTCCGCACCGCAGTGGCGACGGACGGGCTCGGTTATAAGACCTATTTTTCTGACAAAGCCCCATCTTTGTATAACAATGCGCCGGCGATGGCTATTGTTCACAGAGCCAAGTCCCATCTCTCGTACGTTTCTTTGCGGCTCATGCATGGCTTGCAACGACCTCAAAAATGTCAACCAGTCGCGTAACTGACCTTCCTTAACTGATACTTAGAGCCTTAAATATTTTAAAGGGTATAACATTACCTGAGTACTGCCAGAGTGATCCTGTTAGTCCTTACGGATTACGCGTTTCGAGGAGCTTAAGTCCTCATCATCAGATCTTGTACAATATGTTACAAGCTTAAGCTCCTCGAAACGCGTAATCCGTAAGGACTAACAGGATAACTCTGGCAGTACTCAGGTAATGTTATACCTTTTATAGTTTGTTCTGTGATCCAGAGACAAAACAACTCAAAATATGAACTTAAATATTAGTTTTTAGATTACGCAAAAATACATTTTGAAACTCCTGCTAAACTCAATAGCAATGTGCTAACTTTGCATCAATTCTCATCAAACCCACAATATTATCGACTATTTCCATGCATTCTACTAGTGTTATGGAAGTAGCATTTTGCCACATTTATCTAAAAGTGTAATCTTTTGTGTTCTGACTGAAATATACACGAATTATACGAAGCTGTTTTAAAATTAGTAACGTATCGTGTAAACTTAAAATCATTTCTCATTCAATTCTCTATCAACTACCATATCTTCACATAGGTCTTGATAATACCGGTGTCTTCAGCCTTAGTTGAACGTACAGGTTCGTACGTATTTCGTACGTATTCGTCCCTACTTTTACGTGCAATATTTTTGTGTTTAGTGGAATAGTACCTCGTATGAACCCTACTTACAGATCACAGTAATCACGGTTTGTCGGCTAACAAGTTTCATGGGAAGCAATCGGACCAATACCGAGGATCAAAAGACTGAAAATATAATGTCAAATAAACTTGGTATATTCTTATTCATATAATGTAACGGCATATACGAACACAAACATCTCAATTAGAATATCAAGATCAGTTTCTTCGACATAAATTCACTACGAACACGTAAACAAGAGGTTTAGACGAGCATTGAGATAAGTTGCATGGGCCATGGACATTTGTCTGGCGAGGAGGTAAGGGGCGTGAACCCACAAGTCATCCAAAACCGATCTCCAAACGTAGGAGGGGCAGCACAAACCGGGACGACCACGGCACAAACGTTCGCACGCTTGGGAACAGCATCAGATCCAAGTAAAGAGGCTGGCTAGTGTCCTCATCAGACTCTTATTGACTAGGGGACGGATGTAGCCTCATCTTGCAAGCTAATCGAAGAGACATTTGTTGTTGATATTAAATTTAGTTTAGATTAATTTGCGTGTAGGTTAGGGTATTAGGATCCATGAAATTATTCTGTTTTTATAAGACTCTGGTTATATTTACTGAGGTGCAGATATAATGTTCAAATATTCCTAGATACTACCTACACGGATAAGGACCTATGTCAGAGTGTTGTGTGATACACTCGAAGGAGTTCATAACTTATCGTCGACAGATCTTATTAAATAATTAGAGTCTCGTAAGGACGGTTCAAAGTAGTATGATATATACACATGTTAGCATGTGTTGTGTTGAAATTATACTGGGTTCGGATTACTTTGAGTACATATAAGAAAGTAACACGTGTCCTAGTGAGAATTCAATGTCAAGTGTGATTTATATGAACGATTCGAGAAAATACTATACGGTGTAGTTATTACAAGGTTTGGACTATTTTGTGTGAGGTGAGGGTGCGTGTTGTCATGACAGCATTAACATACTTATGAAAGACTTAAGTTATTATTGACTGGGGTAAGGATGAATTTACAACTACTTTGAAAGAAGTATGATTACTATTATTGAGAGGAAATAAACTTTACTAGAATTAAAGTGGGTTATTCCTTTTGCCAGACTGGTTTTAGCTTAGTTTTGTGTATATTCAAGGGATAACGAATACGTTAAATGAAATGAAACTAAAACTCTGAAAAGTAAAATCAAATGTAGGTAGACCACGTTACCTGTACTAACTCATACCTTAAATTAAACAAACTTTAAATAGCCCTAGAATATCTGTGTATTGTAAGCAAGTGTGGCCGCTACGACTGTAAACGAAATAAGGTAGGAATACAAAAATAGGTTTTTGGATCATCTAGTTTTGATCCGAGTGGCACCTAACCATCAACATATTTGCTATGTCATCAGTTCGAAGGTCTTAGTTATAAGGGCATATATCTATGGCGAGAGATCCCATCACAGCTGAAATTATTGAGTCCCGTCGACGTACGGTCCTACACGAGTCTTGTTATGCGATCAATTAAAACGTTAAGAGAGTGGCCTAATACTCTAGTGGGGTATAATTACAAGCCCGTCCTGAGTCGATTTGTTCCTGTCGACCAAACACCATTAACAATCAATAAGATATCCGTTCATTGAATCATTTTATTTGTTCAAGACGACATTGGCCAAAGCTAAGTAGAAGGCGTTTCTACGGGCATATAACTACAATAGCACGATAGCGATTTTAAAAGTAATGCAAAGTTATGGTTGCATTAATTAAGTTGTAGCTAAGGGTACCCTCACAGGATGGTATTTTCATAAGTCAATTTTTATTTTGAAAAATAATGCTAACCAACGAGTTTAAACATGGTGATAGAGAAGAGAGCAGATCCATGACATATGAAGCACACTTGAATACACGAACGATAATTAGTGTGAACACTCATACTTGCACTAACATGAGTTCAGAAACTAATTTGTAAAACACGTTATGAATTTAAAATGGCTTGTTTGGGAGATGAATGTCAACAGCTTAAAAATCGTTCAGAACAATTCGAGTATTCTTTCGGCTGTACTCTTGGTTGTGCCTATTAAACTAGGCTGATTAAATAAGCCGTGATATGTAGTGTGCATCGTTGATACAAAGATGGGCCGTTTAAATTATTATTATTAGTTTTAATGGAAAACTATATATTATCTATTACCAACCAATCATATAATTTTAGTTAAATTCAATCGAAGCACTAATATTGTTGGATATAAATGACTATCACGCGTTCACATTCACACCCCTATACTATCTGCGTATCTGTATATACGGGTAATAATTTATATTTTAATGTAATCCTACACTATTCTTATTATATCTTTAGTGTCAGCCATAATAAAACATAATTCATGGACAAGTATTTAGGTACAAAATATTCTATAGGTGCTATTGGTCTAAAAACGTTATTCTTGTACTAGAATAGAATTTAAAACAAAGTTTGCAAGTTGAAATATGAAAATAAATATTTTTCGACTTGGTGATATCTGAATTTTGATCAAATATAAATTTAGCGAGTAAAATTGTAATATGTTCTATCTTACATGGATCATGCACATAGGAAGGTATTAGAAACAACCTAAAACTGAACTAATTGACTCATGCAACTGAGAGGACACTCAAACAAATGTGACAAAATATTGAACCAGATGCGCAACACCTGAACGGGGCTAATTTTCTTGGCGTCGGCTAAGCGCAAACAAGAGATTAATAACACTTATCTGTAACTGAACGTAAAGGCTCGGCACTTACGAGTGATTCCCAAACATACACATCGAGCTACGTTTGGAAACAGAAATACGTTTAGAATAAAAACGTATCATTTCTAATGAATGGTGTGAGTAGCACGTGTGTTTTGGAAAACTTAATTGTTTAAGTCTGACTTTTAACAGCGATGCTGTTTTAATGTTCGATTGAATTAAACTTATATTCCTACTTCTTATTAATGATTCAGGCTTGAGTAACTTAAGATTTTTGCTCTTCCCTCAAAGCCAACTTTACACAAAATGTATTTAAATTGAGCGAACCTACGAAAGATTTAAAAACAACACCTTTAGCGTATTACACCGTACGGATACATAATGACCATTAACTATAAAATACCCGCGCCGCAGCAAACCTGCAGACTTAGCAAACTTCCTTTTGTCTGATTAGATCGTTATTAAAATATTTCTTTAAACATGCCAGATTTATTCTCCATTAAAATAACATTTATTTTAGTTAGTACAGTACTTAAGTTTGCTGCTACAGGGAATTAAAAGTGTGATTTTGTGAAATGTTAATGGATGGTATAGAATGAATAAATTAACAGAATTTGAACAAAATATAGCCATAAACAAACAAACTACAACAGTTTACCTTTTCTTCATAAGAATAGCATTGAATTTATGAGTACAGTTTTTGGGAATCTTCTCCGTAACCTTTAATTGTACACGGTTAAGATAAGTTTAAACAAAAAAGGGACTAACATTACTCGAGTTGACGTGGCCACTGTGTTCTCTCTGGTATATACAAATTAAATAATTTTTACGAATAGTGCTTTGACGTTTAAGAACATAAAAGAGAACAGTAAATCGGTCCCGGCCATAGGTCAGCTAAGTTAGAAGTTACTCTTCTATTGGTAAATTCGCTAATATACATCAATCATAGGTAAAACTAAATGGGGTTAATTCATTTTCTACTCTTATTTCATTAACAAGTTTGGTGTAGGTACAAAGTGTATCGCCAGTAGTATG